TCATACACACTCACACACTCATACACACACTCACACACTCATACACACACCCACACACACACCCTCATACACACACACACTCACACATACACACACACTCATACACACACACACACTCACACACTCATACACACACTCACACACACTCTCATACACACACACACTCACACACACACACACTCACACACACACTCACACACTCACACACTCACATACACACACACACACACACACACACACACACACACAAACACACACACACGGCTGCTTTGGCTTGGAGACCCTCAGATATTGCTCAATGTCATCTAGATTGACAGTGATCGATCTAGGATTGTGACCTAGGTTGGCTCAACTACAAAGGCTGTGGTCTTTCCTCTACACCATGCGGTCACTGTGACCCCAGGCAACAGGGCAATGGACAGTATCAGATGACCTTTCCAAGATCTCTTTCGAGCAGAAATGTTCTCTGCATCTCAGCGCCTTAGTCTCCTGCTCTGCCCTTCTCTTCCCTCATCATCCAACCCGTAGTAACCCTGGCTGTCTTTAGGGCTTGAGGAAGAGACCAGCTTTTCTGGTGACGGCTGTGGTTACTCACTTCAACCCTCTGTTGCTTGCCCATCTCTCCCTCCCACCCTGCAGCTTTGCTGGCAAGTAACCCCAGCCCAACCCCCACACACTGCCTCTGGCCAAGGGGCACTTCCCAGAATTAGCCACTGCAAACAGCTGGCTCCAGGAGGGGGGTCAAGGAGGCTAACAGTTTCCAGATGTGCCAAGGCACCAGCGCCTAGGAGGCCTGAGGCCGCCTCCTGTGGCTGGGAGCTGGGGAGGCTGGCCTCAAATCAGGACTTCAGCAATGCCAAGGCAGCCAGGCAGATCCTTGCATGCAAACTGCAGGGAAATTTGTGGGTGCAGGGCAATAGACACATCCGTTCTGCACCTGCAGGACCCTCTGGGAAAGCCCCTGCAGCCTCAGCAGCTCTTTGTGGCCTGGATTCAGCCCAGACAGTCCCTAACAAAATTAATAGCCATAATGACACTCTCTCACCTTCCTACTGGGCCAGAGTGTGGCGGTTTAGAGTACACCATACTTGGAGTCGAACCCCAGTGCACCTCTAACCAGCTTTGGGACCCACACAGATTAGCTCCCTTGGCCATGATATGGTTTCTATGTCATAATGTCAGTGTTAGGATTAAATGGCTGGGGGTGTAGCTCAAAAGGTAAAGGACTTATCTATCATGCACAAAGCCTGGGTTTTTATTCCTGGAACTGTAGAAACCAGGCCACCACATCTGTAATCTCAGCACTTTGAAGGTAGAGGTAGAAGAATTAAAGGTTCAAGGTCATCGTCAGCTGCATAGTGAGTTCAAGGCAAGTCTGGGCTATATGACACCATCTCAAAAAACATTATTAGAGCTAAGTGGGAAAATTTATAGAAAATGCTTACTATTGACCATACTTACCACGGCTTGGTCTTCCTCCTTCTCTCCTTCCCTTTCTCCCTTCCTCCCTCCTTCCTTCTTTCCTTCCTTTTTTGAGGTGTGTGTGTGTGTGTGTGTGTGTGTGTGTGTGTGTGTGTGTGTGTGTGTGCGCGCGCGCGCATACGCTCGTGTGCACTTAAAGAGAATCATCCTGAATCACTCTTTTTCCTTAGTGCGGCAGTGTTTCTCAAACCCAAAGCTTGCTGACATGGCTAGTTTTGCTAGCCAGCTTTCTGTTGGAATTCTGTCTCTGCTTTTTGAGGATGGAATTACAGGCAGGTGACCATGCTCACCCTTGCATTTACAACAGTCACCAACATCCTCTACAATTCTAACGTCCCTACTCATGCTCATATCTATTCTCTCCAAGGCAATGCGACTTTATCATTGCCATCCTGGAAGTTAGTTCTTGAGTCTTCATTTTCAGGAGAAGAAATTGAAGCTCACCTCCCAGGGTCACATTGGGAATCAGTCTAGAGCTAGGACTTAAAATGTGAGCCAAATGGACCCTCAAGCATGCTCACCACACCATGCCCCTCCCATGTACTTCTCATGAGAAAAATCATGGGACCTTAATCATGGGACATACTTCTTGACAGTTCCTCTGGGGAGAGGCCATTTTCAGAAGAATGGTCAACAGCTTGGGGATCCAACGGGACATGGGAGAATGCCAGTGCCTTAGAAGGGGCAGTAGGGATAGGAGAGTTTTAGAACATGTCCAGGACAGGGGATCTAGATGTTGAGAGGAGTCCAGGTTGTCCTAGGGTGCCCTCCAGGGGTATCCAGGGCTCCTACGAGCTGATGGGCAGGGGCTACTGATTGCTCTGGCTCTGTGATTCTTGCCTTGCCAGCTGCTGCTCCTCCTCTGCACGTCTTCTTCTCTGCTGGGGAGGGTGGGGAGGGTCTCCAGAATTCCCCTTTGTGAGATGGGGAGGACAGGAGTCCAAGGAGGAGGAGAAGCCAGAGGGGGTTAGTGGGCAGGAGCCAGCTAGCAGAGAGGCCCGCCATTGGCCCAGCTCCCAGGGCCCGAGCCTAAAGAGGGATCCGCCTGCCCCTCACCCTTCCCTCCCCTGCCCCCTGGGCTCCTTGGCTGCTGAGCCTGCCAGCTGGGCCCACGCCAAGCCAAACAACTGCTAGGAGGAGAGGAAGAAGCGTTTCCGAGCAGAGAGGCCCCTGTGGGCTCTGCTGAAGCCTAGAATCCCCTTTTCTCAC